GGGGACCTGGAGCCGCTTGGCGTGGGGGGAGCAGGGCCACGGGTGTAGGGGGTCTGGGCATCCGACCCCGAGCGAGAGCCGGGGTCAGGGCAGGGCTGAGCCCGACGGCCTCCAGGGCGCCGCGCTGTCACGGGATGAGGGTGCAGGGTCCAGGGGATCCGGGGGCCGTGCCCTCACCTTGATGTCGAGGTGCAGGATGCCGCACTGGTGCAGGTAGCGGAGCCCTTCCAGCACCTGCCGCATGTAGGCGACCTGGGGGCGGCGGGGGCAGCATCACGTGGTGTCGGGGGGCTGGTGCTGCCCCCCAGCACCCCGGTGCTGCCCGGCCCCCGCCCCCCCAGCCAGGCTCACCTCGGACTCGGACACGGCGATCTTCCTGGCCATCCTGTCTAGCAGCTCCTCCTCCGCGCAGCTGGCACCAGTCAAGGCGCACAGCCCCAGCGCAGCCCCCTGCAGCACCACCCCTCCCCAGAGCTGCAGCCCCTGCCACCCAATGCTGTGAGCTTCTCTGTGGCAGTGCCCACCCAGGGACCCCAGCCCCTCCACAGCACCCCACACTGCAAGCTTCCCCACAGCAGTGCCCTGCTCAGCTGCAGCTCCACACCCTCCCCGCCGCAGGGGCTGGTGCTGCTGGCTTCGGGGCATGTGTTCTCTGCACAGCCCGTCCTGGCTCCCGATGCTGCGAGCTTCCCCCAAGCAGTGCCCTCCCAGAGCTCTCCCGGGCGCCAGCACGGAGGATACAGCTCCATGACGATGATGAGGGCGTTCTTCTTCTCAAAGGCGTCGTGGAAGTAGACGATGCGCTCGTGGTCCAGGCGCGAGAGGATGTGCAGCTCCCGGCGCGCCGACACCTTGGCCTTGGCCCGCCCGGGGATGAACTTGGCGGCATACTCCAGCATGCTGCTCTTCTCCGTCACCCGCCGCAGGTAGGAGAAGGCCCCTCTGCAAGGCACCGGCCGTTGGCGGGGGCACACGTTGCCCCTCCCAGTGCCTGGGCAGGACCCCCAGCCCCGGGGGCACAGGGGTAGACTGGGGCATCCCCTCACCTCCCGATCTCCTCATGCACATCGTAGCAGTCGGTCAGCCGCCGCGCCTTGTCCTCGCTCGCTGCCGCCTCGGCCTTGGGCTGGGCTGCAAGGCAGAGACGTGGGGTCAGGCCTGATGCTACGGTGATGGGCCCTGGGACTGGGGCAGCCTGCAGGGGCAGGGACCAGCTCATGGGCCCCCAGCCTGCACGGTACCTGGGCGCACGACCAGCTCGGCCTTGCAGGAGACGAGGCCAGCGGGGTTGCGGGCCGTGCAGGTGTAGACGCCGGCGTCCTCAGGGGTGGCGCCCAGCAGCACCAGGGAGCACTCGCTGTCGTCGTACACGAAGCTCACGTGGGCGCTCTCCTCCAGCCGCACCTCGTCCTGGGCACAGCGGGCGGTGGGGGGTCGGCACGGAGGTGGGGAGATGGGAATCACCCCTCCTCACTGTGGCCAGGTCCCCGATGGCTGTATGCAGACCCTCCCCGGGGAGTGGGGGCACTGCACGACCCCGCAGCCCCCAGGGACTCCCGGCCAGAGCCCGGCAGGAGGCAGAGCAGGCTGGCATGGCCCGGGCTGCGGGGATGGAGGCGGTATCGCCGCAGGGCCCTACGACGAGCTCCGGGAGCTGGGGGTTCCCCAGGGGCAAGGACTGCCCCTGCACAGACTCCTGGGGCAGTCGGGAGGGCGCACGTGGCGTGGACAGCTCCAGGCACCGGGGCAGCGCAGTGGGATCTGCCCACCCTGCTTGGCACAGTCCAGGAGGTCCCCGATGCAGGGGATCTGGGCCAGGACCCCCAGCAGGCAGGACAGGGTATTTGGGTGCAAGAGGGGTAGATTTAGACTAGCAGGAGGCTGCGGGTCGGGCGTGAGGGGCAGCAGCGGGGCTGGTGGGGGGAGCAAGGGGGCTGCGGGTTGGGAGCGAGGGGCACCGGCAGGGCTGGGCTGGGCAGGGGGGCTGGTGCTGGGTGCAGGCAGGCCCCAGCGTGGCGCCCACCTTGAACCACATGATGTCGGGCAGCGGCTTCCCCTCCACCACCACGGCGAAGCGCGGCGTCTCGCCTGCGCCCACGTCGATGTCCTCCATGATGGACTCGAAGCGCGGAGCCTCTGCAAGACCCGGAGCCGTCGAGCACGCGGCCACCCCCCACTCCCGCTCACCCTCTGGCCCCGCCCCACCACGGGAGGGGCGTGGCCTGCTTGTCCAGGCCCCGCCCCCTCCGGCCCCCCTACCTGCCAGCTCGAGGGCGATGGAGCAGGTGTCGGCGCCGTGCGGGTTGCGCACCTCGCAGGCCAGCTCCCCGGCATCGGCCCGGCCCGTCCGGAAGATGCGCAGGCTGTGCTGGTCGTCGTCCGGCATGCTCAGCTCGTACGCCCTGTCCTGCTCGCCCAGCACCACCTCGCCCCTGCGCCCACACGGTGTCATGAGCCCGGCGCCGGAGCCGTCCGTGGCAGCTTAGCCCAGCCCTGCCCCCTTGTCCGCAGCCCCCCGGCCAGGGGACCCACCTCCTCCAGGTGACCGTGGCCTCCACGTGGTTGAGGGTGACGGTGATGGTGGCTGGCTGCCCCTCCACCAGGAACACCACGTCCGGCTTGTCCAGGATCACCGGCGCCTCCTCCAAGTAGGGGCCTGCGGCACAGCCCCCAGCCCCGCCGTCACCAGGGCAGCGCGGCTCCCACGATGGGCAGCAGGGCCGGTGACGGGGGCAAGACCCTAGCCACGCTGCCCTGGCTGTGCTGGACCCCTGCCACTGTGCCCCCTCAAGCCCATCCTCACCGCGGTCCAGCAGCTGCACAGGTCCGGCGGGCGGCGACGGCTTGCTGCTGGCCTTGGGGGTGGCGGTGATGACGCGGAAGAGGTAGAGAGCCCCCTTGGTGAGCGCGTGCACCGTGTAGGCCGTGTCCCGCACACCCGTGGCGAAGACTGTCCAGTGGCTGGTGCCCACCACCTGCTGCTGGATGGTGTAGGTCACGGTGGCCGGGTCTGCGGCATGGGGCGGCGGTCAGCACGGGGTTAACCGGCCCCCAGGGGCTGCCCGGGTATGTCTCCATCCCTCCCCCGACTCACCGATGGCCGAATCCAGCCAGCGGGGCTTGTTCCAGGTGAGCGTGATGGCCTTGCCGGTCACCGCAGCCACGGTGGGAGGGCCATCGGGAGGTGTTGGCACCACATCTGCAGGACACGGGTGGGCACGGGCATGGGTGCGGTACTTGGCAGGTGCAAGCCACTGGTCGGGGCCGGGGAGCCGGTGGCAGGGCCA